CCAGTTAAGCCGCAAACCAGTTTATCTGCCCCTGGATAATCAAGAGTTGAGTGTATTAAATTTAAAATATTTTAAACTTTTTTTGGTCCAGTTATATCTGTGCTTGGGTTTCATGGAGCTGACCCTTAACATGGCAGGTATTTGTTAGTGCATTTGAAAAAAAAAAACATTTTTTTTTTTTTGCTTGGCCTTCGTTATGTACCTAAGGTGCAGTACGCACCTTCAGTGATTGGACAACCCTGGCCTACACCAATACCAAGCCATTTGGGTTATGATATCTTAAGGTTACCATTGTTTTCCCCCTCCTCCTGTTTTACGTAAGTTGTGCCATTATCAGAAGTTCTGTTCTTGGTTTGTGTCCTTTTCCCACTTCTAATCATGTTACTTTAGCAGATTACACAAATTTCCACTTGTATGGTGTGTGCTATTCAGACTTTTTAAACCATTTTGCAGTAAGCATAGGAAATAAAGTTTTGTTCATCACATTCTCTGATATGTATAACAGTATGTGGCTTGTCCATTTTGTGTCACACCTTTTGTTATAGACCTCATATGCCCTTTGAGTCTTTGTCTCATTAAATTGTTTATGGTGCACATTAAAATAATTGATTATTCTATAACATTGTTACAGCATAAAATCAACAAACAATAAATATTATTGCAATCATCTCTCGTAGTGTCATATTGTAGTCTACTTGCAGTAATCTGTAGGACTGTGCATTTGAACAAATCTGTTTGTCTTAAGGCCAGTGCATTGGTATAAACACACACACACACACACACACACACACATATATATATATATATATATATAATGATAGTATATATGAATTTCGTTAGAACTATTGTAGTAGTGATAATATACCTGGTCATAAATGTCCCTGTGCTTAACTAGTTAAACACTGCACCATGAAGGCATATGGGGGAGTGGATGTATAGATCTACATTTTCTTGACCTCGGCATTAGCTGGAGGTGAGTGGTCAGCTTCATGCTCCGGCCACTTCACACCCAGGGAAGGAGCCCCTGGTACCCATTGGATAGGAGGTTATGTGGACCCCAGAGCAAGTCTGGACTACGTAGAGAAGAGAAAATTCTTGACCCTACCGGGACTTGAACTCTGACTCCTCGGTTGTCCAGCCAGTGGCCAGTCATCATACCGACTACACTACCCCGGCTCTTTAATATACCCGGTCATAAATATAATATCATTGTATGTGACTGCTGATTTTATATTGTAATTAGTAACACTACATTATGATTAGATTCTAAAGGGTTCTGGCGATGGTGGATCACACACAGAATTACTGGGTTCTTGGACTTTTTCCATCGTCCAGAATTCTAGGTAATAGAGGAACTGATGTTTTGGAAACTAGATCTGTTACTGTCTTCAGGTGAGGATGGAAGACACATACTCAGATTAGCTCTTTCTAAGGGGCCCAACTGAGTAGGTGTCTTCTTCCTCATCTGAAGATGGAAACAGATCCACTTTCCAAAATGCTGTGTCCTCTCTTACCTAGAATCTCAGACGATGGAGAAACTACAAGAATCCAGTAATTCTGTATACCACATTATGATGTTCATTACAAAATATGTAACATTATGCTTAGTAGTTCAGTTGGTAAAGCAGCTGGCTTACTAAATGATGGAGTTTGACCCCTAATGAAAACATCAGAATTTTCCCCCTCTGATATGTATGTCAGGAACTACCTTCCACTTAGACTGTATAAGGGCTGTGCCATAGCTCAAGCGGTTAGTCGCTGGCTTCCCACCGCAGCAGCCCAGGTTCGATCCTGGGTGTGGTCATGTGGGATTTGTGGTGGACAAAGTGGCGCTGGGGCAGGTTTTCTCCGAGTACTTCGGTTTACCTTGTCAATCTTCATTCCACCAATTGCTCCACAGTCACCCTCACCTATCATCTGGGGCTGGTACAATAGGCCTCAAGTGGCCGCAGTGCCAGAGAAAAAGCCCTGTGAGGATAGTTAATGTTCTAGCTGAGATTCAAATCAGCATCTCACTAATACAAGAGAGGAATGTTACTGCTTGAATTAAGTTGTATGGTAGCAAGAGGAAATGTTAGAGAAGGAAGATGAGGGAATGTTCTTTTGTGGTCGTGCTTAAAAGTGGCAAGAAATAAAAGAAGAGATTAAAACTGGATAGCAGATCACAGCAGTAAAAGTGCATCATATACCTTGGTGCCTTTTATTGCCCAGAAAATACAGTATGTGACATAGTTAGAATCATGAAAATCCAAGTTGAGATTCCAGTAGTTGCAAGCTTGACATAGTACACGTACTAAAGTGAATGTCTCTCCAGTTGTTCTATGAGACCTCAGTTCTCTTTCAGAATTGAACCATCTATTCTATATAAAGTGGGGGCACGCGGTAGTGTAGTATGATACAAGCTGAAAGGTCGCAGGTTCAAGTTCTGATGAGGTCATTGGATTTTTTTCAATTGACCTAATCCTTCCAGGCACACTATGGCCCTGGGGTTGACTCAGCCTCTAACAGAAATGAGTACCAGGAATTCATTAAATAATTCTCATGGGGAGTAAAGCGCGACCAGCACATAAGGCTGAAAACCTTACCGCCATCTTTGAGCCGATTGTCTAGATAATGTGGGACCCTCAGCATCTCAGAACCCTATGGGCCTTCACGGCTGGTACAGGGATAGCTTTACTTTTTACTTACTTTATTCAATATAAAGTAAATACAAACAGCAGGATTTCACAGTTTTTCGGCCTATTTGATGAAGGACTAGTTGATTCTGTCGAAACAAAGTGCTACATAGATCAGTTGGTGCAGAATCAGTCACGTGCTTGCTTCATTTTGAAGAAGGCAGTGGTTTTTGTGTGTTTTAAGGCATCTTAACACTGGGTTGCATTTGCATCTAATAATGTATCTGTTATCCCTGTTCTTATTCTGTGAAGTGTTGTAAAGGAAGCCAGATCGTCATCTTTACTAATTCTGAAATTCCATGATCCAAATATTATATTTATCTGCAAGCAGTCTCATAAGAAATGTATCTATTTGTAGCAGTACTTGCACTGCTTCAACAATGATGATTATGAGCCAGAAAATCATAAATCCATAATTCAGAAATATTTCACAAATTTTTATGAACTTCTAAGAAAAGTTTTATGAATCTGTGCACTCTACAGAGAGACATTACTGGTAGAGGGCTGTAAAAAGTGCTCCTTTTCCCTTCACATGTATCATGTATAAAAGTAAAACCCTACAGATCTCCATAATATTTATTTCATATGCAATAGATCTGTAGACAGGATGATATCACTCCCTCATGGAGCTGAGCCGTTCTTGAGAAGCCTCCAATTGTGCAGCTACTCAAGAACTTCCCAGCATTTTATGGAACCCGAAGGTTTATTACTGTGTTCACAAGAGACCTCCACTTATCCCTATCCTGAGCCAGACCAATCCAATCCATACCATCCCATCCTATCTCTAAAGTTTAATATTGTCCACCCACCTACATCTTGGACTTCCTAGTGGTCTCTTTCCAGCTGTCTTTCTGATCATTCTCATTATACTTGGAGAAGAGTACAAGTTATGAAGTTTCTCATAACGCAGTTTTCTCCAAACTCTTGCCACTTCGTCCGTTTTCGGTCCATGTATTCTCTTCAGCACCCTGTTCTCAAACACCCTCAGTCTATGATCTTCTCTTAATGTCAGAGACAATGTTGCTTTAAGTATGAGTTAATTTTATAGCAGAATTACCTTTAATACTTTCAAGAACAAAGAAACAACTGCAAGTAATGCAACTGACAAATGTCAACATGTTTAAACATATATGCACTTGTTACATGCTCAGGACCCTCACCTTCTGCCAGTAATAAGTTTGTACATTTTTGGGAGAACTGAATAGCTGTAGATTTGTTAGTTTAGAAGGGTCTGACATCTTATCTCAAGTGCTGATTACATTACATGATTCAGTCCATTTTAGGGCCCACATAGAGTGAGGAAACTCATGCAACGCAACTAATTTGGAAGAAAATAAATGCTGTATTTGGTCACCATGTTAAGTTATAGTAGTAATTTTCATGGAGCCAGAAGTTTTAAAATATTTTAAAAGTTCACCTTAATAAAAATCTGTTTTATTGAAAATAGATCTGGACAAGGTGTGGAAATTCTGCTGCACATTGTCTTTTGTGTGTGTGTTTTTTTTTTCCTTTGATAAAATATGAATGTTGTTTGACCTTGCTTTTTAGACAAAAATAAGAATACTGATACATATGAAATGGTGTTAACAAAATTTCAGTTAACAGTTAACATGCCATTACAGAAGTTTGTTGGTTATGTTACTAGTCCGAGTTACTAGGTTTTTGGACTTCGTCCATTGTCCAGTATTCTAGAAACTAAGAAACACACCATTTCAGAAACTGGATCTGTTTCCATCCTTAGGTGGGTGGAAGATACCTACTCAGTTGGGTCTCTTAGAAAGTGCTAACCAAAATCACTGGATGTAGGCACTTCATATTCAGATGTCCACTTACTGAAGAAATGGATCCATTATGTGCACAGTATATTTGTGTGGCTTAAATGTGGGGGCTTGTAAACAGCTTAACATTTCTCTGATCATGGGCTTGTTTACAGTGGTCATTAAGTACTAAACTCACATACATATAAATTGAGTACTTGTAACACATGGTAGACCAAAGAAACAGAGCTATATTAGGTATATGCAATTTTATGAGAAACAAAGACATGAATTATTCCGTGACTGCCACTAGACTATAGCATCTCAGACTTGCCACCACCCAGGACATTGGCTACACAAGGATTACCACTAGAATTATTCAAGGTGCGCCTTATATGTGTTATAGGCTTTATCAGAAGCTTCCTCTTTTATTCTGTGGCATTGATGATGTCTCTTTGTACCACATTTATAGTCAAGCACATGAAAGTGCCCAGTCCTGCGGTAGTTTGTGCTTTGATGTTTCTGCACTTTGTGTTGTTAACAAGTTTAACTTTTTTTTCCCCCCCAGATTTGCGGGTGAAACTTGAGCTTTCCAGTCGCCCGGAAGAGCATCATGTGGTAAATGCTGCACCATATACAGAGACGAGTGCTGACAAAATATCTGAGATAATTCCATCCACTCCTTGGAACTCGAGTACAAGTACAAAACTGGCTGTCCATAAAGGGGGCTCTGTTGCTACAGCTGATGGTAATGTTATTGAGTCATTCTGTTAATGACATAGTGGTTGGTATAGGATTAATACTATACTTGATAGTAAATTACAACAGCTGTTTAACATGTAAATAATTGATGAAGAACTTCTGTCCAAAAGCCAGAAAACTTCAAGAGAAAATCCACTTGGGAGACTAGGCAGAGATGGGAGGATAATGTAGAAATGGATCTTAAAGAAACTAGGTATGAGAATGTGGACTATATTCATCTGACTCAGTATGTGGTCCAGTTGTGGGTTCTTATTTAACCTTCAGGTTCCATGAAAGGGTGGAGAATAACATGACCAGCTGAATGACCATAAGCATCTAAAGAAGGGTTGTACTCCATGGAGTTTGTTTTGGATATCTAATTATGCAACATTAAAAAAAAGCTGTGTATGATATTTGAATAGTTTTTAATATATCCTTTGCGTGAAATTAAAATGAAAGCATGGTGGAAGGTTATGTTCATCTGTCTCTTATTTTTTTTTTTTTTTTTAAACCANGAGAGTGGTTATGGGGAGGGGAGGATTCTTGTCCATGTTCGTTCACTGTAATATCTGTTGAGCACTTCTAAAAATTGTCCATGGCACAGGATATAAAATATTGACCTGTTTATGAACCATAACTTTTATGTAAAATGCTCTTTCATGTTGTATATTTAATGAATTGCAAGGAAACAGTCTATTTCTCTATGCAGTGCAATACCCATTCTTAGTTGGCTGAATCACCAGCAATTGGAAATACAGACTTGTGGAAGATTCATAATTGAGAAGAATGTATTTAGAGACTCTTATTTATCAAAATTTATTTTTTGTATTTTGTTTCCAAACTTGCTTGACATTTAGACTGGTACAGATGTTGCTGAAAATTGGGCATGATTCCAGTGTACATGTTGCTGTCCATTGATCCACAGGTAAGAAACTCAAATGTCCGTTCTGTGAGCGACTTTACGGGTATGAAACCAACCTGCGTGCTCACATTCGTCAGCGACATCAAGGGATACGTGTACCCTGTCCCTTTTGTAACCGTACCTTCACGCGCAACAACACTGTGCGGCGGCACATTGCCCGTGAGCACAAGACAGAGTACGGCCTCAAGGCATTTCAACCACAAGCTCAGGTCCACAACCACAACAACCAGTAAAAAACTGAAGCCAAGCCTCACAAAGAAGTTCTTCACAGAGAAACAAAATCAATCAGGATAGTAACAGAAATACCTCAAAGGATCTTATACATAAATATAAATACATAATTATTACTTGATATATATAGAAATATTATATATATATAAAATATATATGACATTGTTAAAGGACAAACAAGAATTGTGTCCTGTTAACAAGGTATTGTGTATCTTTCAGTTGTCTTTATTATTATAATTTGTTTTTGTTTTTGTTCTTTCTTGAAGCACTTTTTTTTTCTGGATGTCTGTGTAAGAACAAACACTTGTAGCTCTCTTATCTCTGAGGTTTAGGCAGAATTTCAATGTGGGTTATGGGTTGTACATAATGAATATGAAGACCTCCAACTTGTACAGTCAAGAAAAGGGCTCTATGTACTTCACACTTTTATCCACTTCTTCTTGTCATGCCCAAAGGGCAGTATTTTATCTTATGATGGTGCCTCACTGAAAAGCTACAAAACACAAATTGTTCAAATACAGCTGGTGCTCAAAGCTCTCTCTCATATCGAATGTGACTTTAGACATTAGAAATTGTTAATAAAATTTTAATGTGTGTTTACTAGAGTAATAGTGTGTTTGGTGACACTTGCTTTCTGGCTGTCAGTACTAATGTTTTTCGAGTTTAAAAAATTATTGAATTGTTTGTATCTGACTTTATGAGAAGTTTTCACCAGTTGTAATATTGTGTGTTTGGCAGTACAAAGTTATTGATTCATACTCTAAATGTCCCACTCTCGGTGTGTTGTTTGATAAAGTATAAAGCCATTAATGTATATAAATTGCATGTGGTGAAAGTCAGGATGAAAATGTCACCCATTTTGAGGCATTTACAGTATGCTGAATAACTCAACGAAAAGCTGTACACACTATTTTATTATATATGCTCTTATTTAACGTGAATATTGTAAACATCAAAACCGTTACTCTCCTGTTAGAAAACTAGTCATTGAAAGTGCAACAGATCACATCTTTTTACATCTCAGGAATCAGTAGCAAATGACCATATTTTGTTTATCTCACCCCAAATGCCACAGGGGAAATCAGGGACAATTGTTTATAACATCCTAGTGCCAAATCACAGCTATACACAGAGTGTAAAGTATTTTATTTTGTAAAGAAATTTTGAAAGGCTAGTACGCGAGCTGATCATTTGAGGACAACCAGTAACCAGTGTCATGCAAGCTGGTGCATCCAGAAGTTACTGCTAAAATACCTCCAAACTACTGTTCCTGCTACATTATCACCCTTGGTATCTCTTTCTTCCTCACTTCATATTCTGTTGTGCTCTAGTAGTTTTCTACATACGTAAGGAAATATTTATATTCATAATGCTATCTGCTCCTAGTCAATGTATTTCCCCTAGTATATATAGGTATTTGTCAGTAAATACAGTCGTTGCATTATTTGTACACATTTTAGATTCCAGTATTTGTCAGTCGCTGTCTTTATCTGGGCGGTGTTGTTTGATTCAGATCTGAGGCGATACATTACATGACATGTTTATAACTGAACTCAGGACCCAGCATCACGAGTATGCTAAACTCTTGTTTTATACAACCATTTTGAAATACTGCATTTTCTAGGAGATACTTTTTACTGATATGTCCACGTTTCCTAACGGAGGAAAATGCCATTGCTTATTTCACAGTCACGTTCGCATCATTTACGATAGGTTTCCCCTATGCAATCTCAGGTAGTCGGACGGTGTACGATGTCACGAAATTTAGGATTATAGCAACTTTTTTATTGTTTGAGTAAGTGTATTGAAGTTTAATTGACTTCTTAAAATTTTAATATTGTTTTATTTCACATTGCGTTTTGTTGCTTGCTGTAAAGTTTTGTTGTTGTTATTGAAATATTGTAAGATGCAAATTTTGTGATGGAGATGGTTTGGGAGAGATGGTTGTGCATATTGACTGTGCATAAAGGAAAGGATATTTGTAGACACATAGCTGTTATACTTTGTGTTTAATTTGGTTGGTACTGTATTGTGCACCATTGCAATTGTGTTTGAGTGAAAGAGTGTGCTATGTGACAAGTGTTAAGTGTGGTTTTTATGTTCTTGTATATTAAGAATTTTTATAATGTCAAGACCTTCAGTGGTAAATTGGCAGTACAAGAAAGCCACCTCTAAGTGGCTTCTCTCACTCAAGTGTCTTTGGCACGCACCATGCCAACCGCGGTGCAGAGATCTTGTTATTGTTTGAGTATAACTTACATTGTGTTGGAGCCTCTGTTGATCAGAACCAACCTGATGTGGCGTCGTGCATTTGATGTATTGTTTTAACACGTGGGGGGTGGAAATTGGTGTATGGGTACTTTTGCACTTGTTTAGTATTTTTAACTATATTCTTTGTTTGAAATATTTGACAGCATCTTTATAGGTTATGTTGTTTTTATTTGGTGCTTCTTTGTATTTTGGGCAATTGGTTATTAGTTTAAATAACAAAAGTAGGTCTTAAGGTCGTGGTTGTATTAAGCACTTCATGATCAGGTAATTTATTTACTAACGATTCTACCCAATAAAATTATTTGTACTGCCTCTTAATTGCAATTAGAATGTTATGTGTATATCATAATTTGATGCACTTTGTGCTTGATTACTAAACGGGTAAAACATGGTTAGATATTTCATGGTAACTAGGTCATTTTTGCATAAGGAACTAGAGTAACTCCAACATTTATTACGCTATAGTTTAAATCTTTTAAGAAATATGCAATGTGCAATGCTTTGAGACTTTTAGTTCTGGCAAGGACGAGGAGTTTGTCAATTGGGCTGTTGCCCATTGTAGTGGGAAGCAGGACTGAAGCATGATGGATGCAGCAACAGCAATATATGTGACTGCTTAGCCTGATGTCTCAGGATGTCCTCAGATTTTTAAGAAGTGAGGAGTTCTTACAGTAGTCTGTCACAGCAACAGTATTTGTTGAGTTGTTTGTTATTTTTGATTTTGGAAGATGTGGATATCATGGCAGCATCTTGTGATGCTGCTGTATTGTAGATGGTTGGTTGAGGAAGCCTTGTGTTTTGTTTTGTATATGCTGGTTGGAGGGGGTGTCTTTTTGAGTTTATTTGTATATGTATTTGTTTTATGGTAGTGTCTATCAGACAGTAAATATCTGTATTGGCTTTTGAAATAATAATCGTTATATTAGTTGGAGCATAAACAAGGCTTCACACCATCAGGATTGGGGTGAATGGTTTCTACATGTTAGTTTTACCATATTTCAGTTAGGTGTTCCCATGCATAATATTAGTTGTATTATCTTTGCACCATTTATCATAACAATCTCAGGAATTTATTTCAGGGACAAAACCTTATTTGCACTATTCAGTGTGTAGTACTTGTATATTTAATAGTAACATGGATCATACAACTGCAATTCACCTTTGCAGCGAAGCTATCAAGAAAAGGTACATAAATACTTGAAATTTTTGCTTGAAGTACAAAATTGATAATCTGAATATACTTAAGTCATGTGGTATTGTGATTTTTTACAAAATTTGGTTAATTTTAAACTCATTTTACGGTAGTATTACAATGGTATTATTGAAAAAGGTGGACTTCAGTAATTAACTTGAACTGTGGAATTATTAGACTCCTTAAGATTAGGTCTTCTGGGATGTGACACTGTGCAGTTTGTTAGATAGGTACCAACATTTCAAAGGAAACCTGCCTCTATCATTGGGATAGAAGAAGCAAAGAAGCAAGGTGGAGGTAGTGGATTCTTCTGAAACCTGTCTACCAAACTGTACAGGGTCACATGTCAGAAGTGTGTAATCTTAAAACTCACCCTTGTGAGAACATCTAATCTCATATCAGACTCTTATTGATCTTCAGTGCTTCATCCTGTGTAATAATTCTGTTTCTTTGCTCATTGCCTTCATAGTTATAATTTCCATTTTTTTTTTTCCAGATTGTGTTTTAATGACTGAATTCTGCAAACACTTGCTCTGTATATTCTTACCTCATTTGATTTCTGTCTCAGGGCTCAGTAGAGCCAGATTCAATAGTGCAAGGCTGCCTACTACCTCACATTGCACACAGTTGAACTATTGTGTCTGTGCTTTGTGCTGAGTTTCAGGATAGGGTTCATAAGCAGATTCTATGTGTATCTGACTGCAGCACCTGGCATAGCATATTAAACAAGTACCACTTGTGTCATTTACACAAGAATTTCTTTGCCTGTTATAAATACAGTGTTGAATACAGAAGAATAAATTATCTGTTGTACTGCATTGTTGTTGAATCTCCAAGCCTCCATAGATAAATATTTTTAATCTTACAATTCCGTTACACGTTTACCCTAGTGTGTAATTGTAGATTACTCAGGAACTTACAGAATTAATTCGTACATAACATGTAGTATATAATATATACATACAGTAGTAATAAGTTGCATAAATACCATGCTACCTCAGTACAGGACTAATGTAGTATTACAGTTAATTACCTCATACATACTCTGTCACTGTAGGGAATCTCCTTGAGGGATTTGTTTCATGGCAGTGCACTCTTCAGTTTATGTGCATTGACATTCACTTCAGGACAATATTAATGTCCATATGCAACCGGGTCCAAATGTTTGTGCAAGTGTTTGTGGAGTCAGTTTCATTTAAGTGCTTTACATGTGTTCTGTGTTGTTTTCCTTGCAGAGAGGGTCATTGCTAAGCACTGCTGTAGGAAAAATTTAAAACATACTGTATTTTAGAAGAACTGGATGGGTTATAAAAGTACAAATTTAATTCAAAATACTGGTACCAACTATAAGTTCATGTTTGTGTACTTGCAGTTGTCGTTCAAGTTTTCAGCTAACAGTGTTTCCTGCCACAATTGAACAAACCCTCTTGTTGGCATCGCCAGATATTTTAAGTCCAAGTGTTGTGCATCTGAAGCACTCAGGTTTCAGTAGCTATCAGCAGGTTTGTGTGTTGCTTGCTTCCCATTTCACCCCCAGTGTCTCTAGCAGTGTGAAGGAAGGTTGTCAGTAAATAAGTGAAGAAGAAAACCTCACTAGAAATAAATGCAGGTATCCAAATGTATCTGTGAACAAGTACAAGATATTTCTGTACAAATTAAGCAAAATAGTAGTTAAAATGTGTGTATGTATGTATGATTATGTGTAAGTGTGTGTGAGTATGTATGTTTAGTTTGCTGGTAGCCTGCAAACTACAGGTTTCTTTGTAATTAGACTTCCCATGGTACAGAGTACATGATCTTATGATTTTTGCTAGTAATAGAGGCTGATACATGTCATTGCTGTTAACATGTAGCTGGAAAGATGTTTGTTTAAAATCCTAATACACTAAGATAAAAATACATAACACAGATTCATGACTTCTTATAGAAAGAACCTAAGCATTTGGGATGCCATTACATTATGTATGGTGGACATTTGCTACAATACAGCAGTTAGAAATGTAAATTCATGGTGTGATGTACATAATCTGTTACATGAAGTCTGACATACAAGCTAACTGCGTAGTTTGCACATTAACTCAGTCCTCATGTTCTGATACCCAGTGTTCAGCTGTGGCGAGCCACTAGGAGGTTAGCTAGGGTATTCACACTACAGATATTATTGTGGGCGACTGCCACTACCTGGTGGGTCGCATGTACAGTATGCTCGAGATACGAGTATTTAGCCGTGTACATACATTTTTTCTCTTCCCCAAGGGAGATTTTTAAGTCGCTCAAACTTGTTCAAAAGGTGTTGCACCTCGATTCGTGGCGTGGCACTTGAAGTTGTGTCAGTCCTGTGATTGTGGGGGACTTGCATGCCCGTCCCGTCCACCAATATTGTATGCTGTCACGATAATTAACGTTGTTATGGATGTGTGTGTGTGGATGTGTGTGCGTGTATAAGAGTGTGTGTTTTTCCCCCAAATTTCATCTGTTTTACAATCAAGCTACTGTTCTTTTTAAGAAATTGAAGAATGTGCTACATGTGCCCAAGGGGAGTGAAACCCAGTCATAATTGTCTATGTATTTGAAGTGATTTTTATACCGGTATATTTAGTTTCAGATGTAATATATGTACTTGTTTTTTATTTGAATTTTATGTTTATGGGTAATATTGTGTTGTATAATCATAATTATTGATGCTGTGCATAATTGTGGAAAATAACAAAAAAAGTCCATGTATATTTACACAAATTTAATTGTTATATTGATAATGGAATGTGAATTACATAAACTGAAGATAGAGTTTAATTTTATCCAGGTTGATAGACAAAAACATCGGATGGATGGGTGAAATTTCTTTCATGTCTTGGTGGTAAAACTTGGTGTATAAAATCAAGTAGAGTGTCTCAGAACATTTAATATCTCAGTGTATGTGGTGTATGTCATGTTCAAAATCCTTTCATTGGCAGATCTTCAGCTGTGTGATGCACAGTCCATTAGAACAGTGTTTGGTGTCCTCAGACACTTGTACTTAGATCTGGCATGCGTTCAGAGAAACTAACATTATAATTGCAACACCATGTACACATTGGAAAAATGAAATGGACATCTCTGTGGTTTTGGTAAGACATGAAGCAAAGCTTTTGTCGTTGAATGACTTTTTGTGGATTTCTATTCGGGCTGTTCTTGGGTGTTTTGGATCTTTGAATTTGCTGGTCACGATACATGTCGTCATTGTTTGACAGTTAATTGTTTGCAGTGTTCTGTGCTCACCATAACCAAATGTTGGCTTATGAAATCTTGTGACTTTACTACAGTGTTGTATTATGGGAGATATTTTGACCATTGGTTGGAAATTTATGAATTTATCATGTTGTACGGTTACTTTAAATTTTTGTGGTATCTGATTTAAAATTGTACAGATGTTTTGTTTGGGTTCTGTAGGAGTGTCAGCATGATGGTAGATATGGTACACAGGACACAGTTTAGAAAACTTGTCTCTCATTGTTATCATAAACTTTGAAATTGCTGACCAATATTTGGAAGTGGGCATGTGGAAGGTCTTAATGTTTTATGTTTTAACATCAAGGTAGAATATCCCAGATCATGTGTTTATGCAAGATTATATGAGACCACAGTATGTTTGTGCTCCCTTGTTAAACATGGCTTTCAGAAACATGAGGGTAATGCTGTTTTGCTGCTACCATACCATAACAAGTAATCCCTCAGGTTGAAGTATTTTATGACTTGTAGTTGACAATCTTGAAAATAAAAGTTGTCATACACTGCCATCCACATGTACAATTTTAATTTCAGGGATAAAAATATGAAACATTACCTCCATATTATAATAAAAAAGTATATAGAATGAGGGGACCTTGGAAGAAAATGACACATTATCAAAATACTTTTAATTCTGTTTCATATGTTTTTTTTCTGTTACATATTTCAGTATATGACTCAGAAATACAGCAACATGGTACTTGTTGGAAATTTGTGTTCCTGCCTTTAGATAGTTGAGAATGAAATTGTTGTGTCAGTTAGCTGCAGATGAAATATTCCATATAAATTTACTATTCTTGGCTTAAGATTCTCTCTGATGGGAACACCTTCCCAAGTACCTGAGGAATTGTTCTTATAAAAATAATACGGGTATTTAGGTCTCATATTGAGGCATAAACCAGTTAAAGACATTCAGTGGAAAATAAATATAATTTGAAGCATAATGTTGGACAGTTTCCGGAAATAAATGAATTGATGCATTGACACGTAGTTTTCTACATTATAGTGATCATGGGTACCTGACTGTCATTTATGGTACCAGTGTGATATATATTTACAGATCACCAGTGGTGTAATTGGCAAGTGTTATATTCCTAAGGTGATGTCACATTACATAGTACAAGAAAAAAATGCTATTTTCTCAGGAATGTTTGATCTTCCTCAAGAAATTCCAAATATGTAATTCTGATAATGTTAGTTCATCTATGTGTGTGTAGTAATACACACCGTCATCAGTGCACATCTTGCTGATTAATTGTACAGCTGTAAATTGAGTAGTTGACATTAAAGAGAGGAAAATTTATTGTCGCTAGATCAAGAAAGTAGTGTAAAGACGTCGTCTGAACAACTGCTTAACATGTTCATTTATGGCAGATTGCATTCCGGTAAGAAATTGACACTTTTATGCTCACTAGTATTGAAAGGCATTGGTATTTCTAAATATTTGTCTTCGCGTTTGTAAGACACTATTGCTGAAGACTTTTCCTCACAAGATAGTCATGTAAAAGATGAAGTGAGGACAGGATCTTCATAAAAGTATGCTTAAAATGTTTTTAAACATCGTAAATGTAGCTGAATGTGGTCTTTAATGTGTCAGTGATTTAAATGTAACTATTTCAGTTTCTCAGGGATAATCTGTCTTGCATTCATGATGATATTTGTTTTATTGTTCATTCTGCAACTTGTACTAATTTCAAGAACCCTCAAGGAATTCTGCTTTAGTTGGTTATGTGCCAAAGCAGTGCTGACATATGTGGTAAGGTTGCAGTAATTAGGCCAAGGATGCACTTTCAGTGCTGTGGGATGTATAAACTTGCATCATATGTTGTAGTACATACCACATTTTAATTGGTTTGTTATTTTAGCATATTGGCTTTCACATTGTTAAGTATGAATTTTATGTCAAAATTTCATGTATATGAACGTCATTTTGATATTGGTTACAGATCAGTGGTGTTTCTTAATGTTTGAGATAAAGATGTAAAGGCTGTCCATACATTTTGTGACGTATTTGATCTGCTGTCAAAATTTAATCAGTATAGATTTGTTGTCACTTATAAGTAAAAAAGAAAGTATATTGGAAATGCATATTCAATTAAGACAAATGGGTGTAGTACCTAGGTCTTCTTACGTGAAGCTTTTTGTTTAAAAGTAGTGTTGGGTTACATTCACATAATGTGGCATTTCAGAGAAGACTAGCATACTAGCATAACTAATTTCAGAAAATGTACATTTCCATGTTCAGACTTGGGGAGGGGGAATTGATTGTGTAAGTTAGAGTAACATCTGTTTTACGGGTGTAATTGTTTTAGAATATGGAATTTATATCTCAGGACATCTTCAGGATGCAGCATTGAGTCACATGAAGTAATTGCTTCATGTAATAAGCTTTCAAAAGTTTGACATGGCCAGTTGCACAGCTCATTTTTGTTATTCATTTTCAAGGTAGAAACAAGAAATTAAGATGGTCAGTTTGTACATTTGATAGTACTTAATGTTCTTATCATAGCTGACTTTCTTTCTGTTTCATTAATATTGGTTAGAATTGTAGTGTTGCAGGTCTGTGAGTACATTTTATGACACTGTGAGCATCATTCCTCATCTCTGACCAGTTTATCTAACTATGGAATTATTTTTTTTTGGCAGAGTTCTCTTAATTTGAACAAAGGCATTGCTATCAAAGCCCACATGTTTTGGGAAATGGACGTTGCAGAGTTTTAATTAGTGATGTTGCGGGAAACGATATTTGTAACTAAATTGTAATGTATTTTTGGTAATATTTGAAATCTTGTTGTATCAGATGTTCATGTGTTTTTGCCCTTTGTGTTTGTCCGCTTCAGTACCAAATAATGGTTAAAAGAAATGTAAACTGTTGAGGAATATCTTATCTCCTTGTCTTCATAAGACAGCCCCCTTCATTGCTACTGCTGCAGCTCATATTAGTGAAGTCAGCAGTAGTGCTCTTGTTGGGGACAAGTTTCCGTACGGGTCAATTTAGATTACTGCATAATTTTGTAAGCATAATATTTTCTTGGTATGCTGTGTATCAGGTACTTTACAGTCCCTTTGAATGTTCAACAGTAGCTGGTCATTTGTGTTTCACAGAGAGAATGTGCCACTGGTCATTGTCTTCATTTTGTTTTGCTTTTATCAAATATTCTACTTAGAACTTTCTGTCATGGAGTTACACTTGGCATTGTCTGTCAGGCAACATCACTTTTAGGGATGCTTGTGCTGTATGTTTGTGTCTATCTTGGTGCCTAACATTGCAGAAAAATGTTAAAAACAAGTTCGTGCTCTTTTTATCAATTAATAAGAACCTGTCAGCTTGACACCTGTGTGATCATTCTGTCATCAGGAGCTAATTTTTACAAAGCTGGATGAGTCTGGTGCTTGATTTCATGTTTAACATGAATAGATATTGGATTTACATTTTAAATTAAGATTATAGGTAATTGACATAATCAGGTTATTTTTCCTTTTATGATCTAACTTGAAAACACAAAATTGCATCGGGTTGCTTTTATGCTGAAACCATACTGGTTGGGTATTTGCTGTCCCATTAACAGCATTAAAAGAGCAAAATTGAAGTTCAGTATTTTTAGCATTTTAAAGTGAACCAAATTTTTATAATTGTTTATGTAGGAAATTAATGCTGTGAAATTCTGCATGTGGCTGTAGATTATATTGCCTAATGTGCTGTTGAAGTGTTCTTTGCAGTGCATTTCCAACCAGAAATGTCTTGTAGACACAGCAGTAATGCTGAATATAATTTTTATCTAGCTGGGATGGAAAAGAATTACATTCTTGCTATTGTGTTCATTTTTAATGAAATGAACATTTCTGGTTATGTTCATGAACTTCCAGTCAAGTTTTATCATGTTGATGTAGAATTTGCTCGGTGTCTACCCACTTTTCATCTACATGTTGCTCTGAAATTTGTTTGGAAGATGTTTGGTAATACTGTATGTGTACACTGTACATGTGTACATTCCTAAAATATGAATTGAGATTCTTGATGTCTCATATTACATGTCTTCATTTAACTGTGAACATTTAAATTTGAGTTCGGTAAGATGCATCATTCATCTTGCATAGGGTAACTTGAAACTGCTTGATTTTTATCATACAGACTTCTAAATCTTTGGTATATTTCATGTCTTATTCTGTTATCTTTGAAGACAAATATGCTTTCAGGTTGTACAGTGAAGTGGGTAAACTTGAAAGTTTGTAGCTGAAAGTGGGTAGATATGATGCAAGCCCAATTCAAGGTACTGTGTGATGTGTTTTTGGTTGGTGTTTTAAATCAGTATCCAAGTAGCATGAAAGGGTTGGCTTGCTGTGCAGGATAAAGTAATATTATCAGTTTGATACCTTTCCAATGCTATATTAAGATTGAAATTCTGATTGGATTGGCTGGTATGTAGTAATGCATTAATCGGTACAATTAGTCAACCTTTCTGAGTTACTATAAACAGAAATTAATGTTGTTTGTTGAACTTGTGGTAAAGTTTGTTTCACTCAGTGAAATTGTTTACTTTTTATGCTCCATCAAAATCTGAATGTTTTGCAGTGATGTTGACATTCTTTACCTCTTCCATTTTGAGTTGCTTAGTATTTGGATCTGTGAAACTAAGTGGTTTTTTCTAACACTGCAAATCAGTCACCATTGAAAACTATAATTTTTACAATTGACCATGTTAACATTAGGGATATCAGTATGCTATAGCCAGCTGTCCTTACTCTCACCTGAAGGGTGGCCAATACAGTGGACCACATTTCTGTTTCATAGTGGATCAGCCAGTGCTTGAATCTAATGTGAGCTATATGTGGTTAGCTGTTTTGCCTGTTCAGTAGGTCATATTTACCAGTCTTACACAATGGATTGTTACCCAGGGATATATTACATTTTGTACTTCCTTAAAAAATTTTCATGGAACTCCTTGTAGTGTGGGAATGTAACCAATTCTTCTGTAAAAGAAACCCTTGCATACATCCTTAGTAAGTTTGTTGTCATAGTTTAGTATTTAAATGTAATGCTATGTATATATACATCAAGCCGTATTCCAAGTTGGACTGGTAAATATGTTCACAATTTGCAGCATTGTTTGTATAGCTAATGGATTAAAGGTAATTCAGTGGCCTGGTGAGTCCAGTTACAAGAAATGTTGTGTAAACTACTTGAATATGTTATCTGTTTTTTCATTCTGGGAATGTACCGTATGAGATTGAAGTGATTCAGCTAAACTTACATGTACCTGAATCTTTGAAATAGTAAAAGACAGTAGTCCATGCATATGACATTTCATAAAATGTTACAGCTTATGTTTTATCTTCCCAAATGTAATATAAGGGAGAGTCAGTAAATCGGTCATGGATATAAAACCTAAAACATATGATATACAAACCTGGAAAAAACATTTATTTCTCAACATATCCTCCACCAACATTGATACATTTGTCCCAATGCTTTACCATTGTGTCAGAACCTGAAGCAGGGGCTGTTGCCGCAGCCACTTCCACACCTGGTCGGGCATCATCTGCCACTTTCATACATCCTTGAGAGAATTTCTTGACCCAGTTGTGAGCCTCTATACATGACAACACTTCCCACCATAAACAGGAAACATTTCTTTAAGAATATCCTTTGCATTGGGTCCTTCTGCTCACAAAAAACGCACAATAGAATGCTGATCTTCGATAGTACACATGAAGCAGTCTCCATTTTGACTGCTGAAACCAGCCTCTGAATATGTGCATGTGCATCTGCTACCTAGACTGTCATGAGCTGGACTGTGCTGCTGCCTAGTGATACACATATGAAACTTATTATATTCATTACAGCCATTTTACTTCAATTTGTGACCTATTTCCTGACCTTCATACAAAGAATGGATTAGAAAGTTTTTATTTCTCACTTATGTTAGCTTCAGAAAGTATTTTGTGAAGTTTACTGAATCACCTCAGTTTGAAGTGTGGATCGTGTTCCCTTTTACATACTCGATCTAAAAGCTAAGTCTTCGGAAGATTTGTTAAAATTGGTACCAAACCAAAATTGATTTTGCAGTTTGTGTTCCGCTTTAAATAAATGTTGGATATGATTTCCTTTCGTACTTGTTCTCAAGCTTTAGACTGTGGACCACATATTTGTCTATTTTACATAACTGTACTATTTCATTTTGTCATATGAAAATTCAAGTAGAATGTGTCTGCTAGTTATACTGACAGTTAAATTTAATTCAGCTTTCTGTCATGCATATAAATGTTACAAATAATGCAGTATAAAAATAGACCACGTGTTAGGCAAAAGGGAGGGTCCACAAATGTTTGTAGTTTGGGAACCACTGTACATATTTTTTTTTTTTGCAGAACTATTTGCTTTTTCTCTGAATTGGTCATCCATGATTAGATAGAATTACAAAATATTGTACAGGTGTTAGCTGAGAGTATTTTGATATTTACAGATGTTAACAAAGTTATGTCAATGTAAGATTTGAAACTTTCATGACAACAGTGGACATTTAAGCCTTCTCAGGCTGTCAGCCATGTTAGTGTAGAGTTCTGTGACATTTCAGATACAGTCTCTGTCTGCAACATCAAGGGTTGATGTGATGAGCTGGCCCAGCCAGAACAGTGGGCAGAGCAGTGATATCCTGTCTCAGTAGGAGTTTTGTGGGGAATAGTATGTCTTCTGAACTCTTAACAGACTGTTCCCTGCATGACTTGTGCTGGGACAGGGTATCACTGGCCACATATCTGTGCCTACCATTCCCCTAGTGATCCAAGCTGGAACAGATGAAATCTTTGTGTATGAGTATAACATGCAAACACAACATCTGCCATGTCAACCCCCTGATGATGGAGATAGACACAAAAACTTTGGTTGCCAACCCTGTATTGATACAGCTAATTGCCTGAGAAGATTTCATTTTAAAGTTTGGTCAAGAAAGTAAGAAGAGTCAATTGTTTACAGCTGGTATTTGTAATGGGAGAATGGGAGAGGACATAGTGATGGGCTTAGATCATGTGATGATGTGTTTCTCAGGTTACATTGTGGTTGTAGTTGATGGTGTTGGTATAGCATGGGTGCCAGAGAGGAATTTGAAATGTTACGTTCATTACAGCCATATCTCATGTGTATAGCTTTTGGGTTAACTTTGTTAAGATGAATAAAATTCAGATGTTATACTGTAATAGGCATAATATGAAATATGTCTAGGGGTAAACTTAGGAAGAATTGAAGTAGAAGTTCAAATAATGAACATGAAATTTTGGTTAGGTGAACTGCATTTCATATTATCCATTTGTTCACAGCATGAAAGCCAATTTAAGAATTTTATTATTATTATTATTATTATTATTATAGTTATTATTATCCTCATCATAACTTGTGGATAGACTTTGTTCTCAAGAATAAGAAACTCCCCAGTCCCCATGTAGTAGAGTTGCTTGATGTATAAAACAGTTATCAGAAAGTGTCTGGAGTTTTGTGTCGGATGCTGTTCTCACGGAAAATTCTTGTCATTTGGAGTGGTGGTACGTTCAGTTAATTCCTCACTGTATGGTTTGACTTATTGGTCAGATCCCTTTTTCAGCAGCTTTGCAACATGCTTGATGTAATCACCGTTCCATTTTGCCACTTACAGGTGCCATCTGGGTTCTGGAAGTGCATTTTAATTTTTAATTAAACGTAACTCATCTTTAGTATCTACCTCAAAGTGGTTTTATTTCCACTTATACTGTTTTCTTGATTAATCTGTGATAACTGCAAAGAAACTTTTCAATTCATTTGACCTTACAAATGGTTTTTCCACCAAATCAAGGCTGACCTCCCCGTGATTCTCAGGTTGTAAATTGGTTCTAGCCATAACACAAAAGCTATGAGTGATGTACCTGAACAAGTGATGCATGTTTGGTAGTCGAGATATGTCTGCAATGCATGGAGCTTTCAGTGCCTTTTCATGCCGGTTTTAGGTCAGGATAATTTCTGGAGGAGGCATATTGAACTAGTATCATGTTTTATTCCAGAAATTATTTAGTAAGCTCTTGCAGAACCGTGTGTAGTATGTAAAAATGGATGGATTGTTAAAGTGGCAAATTTTATTAGCTATCAAAAATATTTCAGTTTTTGTTTTCTTATGGTAATTTTTTTATTTCACCTTGTTATCAGTGGTCAGTGTTTGTTTTATTATGACTTTGTGGTGATTTATTGGATACCAGTATAGGTCAAGAAATTTTTGAATTGATATTAAATATGAAAATATGAAGATATGAATAAAAATATAAAAAAAGGGAAAAGAAAGTGAGCATAAAATGTTTTTAGAATATTTTCTTGTTATAATGTGGATTTTAATGTTTGGTACCAGATAGTTGTGTTGAGTTCTTCTAGGATGTTATGCTCACGGTGATCATGCCTTACATACATTTGGTGGAACGTAATTTGCACACACATATAATAATTACTGTAATACAACAAAATGAATGTTTGGAAATTCAGTTTGAAAGATTTCACAGATTACTAATAAACTAAATTTGTTGCTAATTTTGTCTGTATTTATTTCATATCACATTTCCATCATGTCCTTAGGAAGCTTGTTGACACATCTAGTGGTAGAAAGTGTGCGTGCGTGTGTGAGTTTTCCCCTGGTTTAACCATGGGCATCAATATTGTAGACGCTGACTGATTTTCATTAAACTTTGTGTGAACATCGTTCAGTAGATCAGCTTTCTCATGTCACTTCCAGTAGAATGGATGTATGATTTGTGAGGTGGGAATTACACTGATGCCAAATGTCCCAAAGTTTTGTACATAATATGCTGCTTTTATTAATGCGGAGGGGGAATGCAGAAAACGAATGGTAGTCTTGTGAAATATTTTAGTATGTTATTGTAATTGCTGATCAGTCCTTGTAACTCAGAATGGTTAATGTGTGTGGTGATAGCTTTCATATCTACTGTTAGAATGAATGTATTAAAATCAAGGCTGTCGTAATACTTCAGAATTCTAAAATTCGCCAGTTGTTTTTTGTTCTTGTTGACCCATAGAGCTCTGATTTTGTTGATTATATACATACCCTACTGAGGTAAGTTGTCCTTTGCCCAGCAGGGGCGTGGTCTCCAGTGTCCCATACATTTTTGCCCTCGTATCATTTCTTGTGTCATCCATACAAAGCCGTAATATCTGCCTGCATTGCGCACTGAATGCCTACCGCAGCATCCCTATATTGGCCACATGTATTTGTGTCTACCACAACAGTCATCATCTCCCTCTTTTAAGTGTTGTTTCATCGTGTTCAAGTCTCCCTGCCCTTTGAGACTCCTGTCACAACAGCCGGGATCATTCCTATCTCTGCAATGCTTTTCTGCAGTTTTGAGAGTTAAGTGGACCCTTTTGCAGTGCCTGTATTCAAGTCCAGCTGCGAAGCCCTGACTATGAGTCGTACACCCACGCAGTGTCCCGCTTATGGCCTAATGTCATAGACACTCCCTCCCAACCAGTTATAAACACCTCAGTCTGACGAGATGTGTTTGTAAAGATTATGGAGCACATCGTTAACATCTCTGGATCGTGGAATGCCTGGTAAGATTCTGATGCCGCAGATCCACTCTTAGCAACCTTGTGAACAATGGGCACCGTATCAAGAATTCTTTCATGCGCCAAGTCCTTGTCGCAGTTTTCTTCGAGTTAGAAAGTGTGTGTGTGGAAACATGACATACGGTATCCAAGTGGAGGAGATGTCGGCTGCTCCCGTCATTTCTAGCTTTCGGCATGCTCGTTTCCGTGTTCTGCTCGGTAATATTCGTTCTACCCTATCAGCAGAAAAAAAAAGGATGTTACCATGTTCACTTTCGCGATCAATGAGATGTAAAACTCAGTCGATCCCTCAGTCCCAACATCACTGTATGTTGATGCTGTTGCATTAACAGTTCCCGGAGCATAGTAACTTTCGAACACCCGGCTACAGTTTAATATGAATTGTTTGTCGCACTGGGTTCCGCAGAACGTATTTTCCTTTTCCGCGATAAAGACCCACTGCATACATTTCACATGATTGTGGGGTTTACATCTTGGCCTATCTGTTCATAAAATAACTTCGTCCTGCCGTTTGCTTTAGGTTTCAAGTTTCCAGCCTCTTGACCGTGATTACCAGCGAAAGGAATCTGCGTGTTACGTTCCTTGAAAAAAGACATGTCGGTGACTTGTTGCACATGGCGCTTAGAATCTAGATTAAGCCCTTGTGGTCATCCCCGCGCGATAAATGCGTTCTGTTTGTGTATATTCGTCGGCTAGCTTTTCCCCACTTGATGTCCTAATCGAAATCGGTATGCCCCAAATGGGGATATGCTTTCACTGAACAGCCCTTGACTTCTGTCGTACACTTCGTGATGAAACAAAATAAAGCGGCTTGTGAAAGGTCATTCATAATTATAACGACAAAATTAAAAGGCACATACATATTCAACTCTCCTTTGCAGATCGGTTCAACAGAATACTTTGGAGTGTAATGGGCATGTTGCAACCTGTTACAGCTACACCGATGGGGGGAATTATTGTATTTTATTGTAGCATCCTGTTGCACTTTTCACCGTTGCGATCAGTTTTTACAGTCTCACGTACAGCACTTATATTCTATAAACTTTATTAAACATTATTATTATTCGAAAACAAGACACGCAGCACGACACACAACAGGAGAAAACAGCCAACCAACTCAAACACGTGCAAATCGAGGAGACAACATAAGCAACAACAGAAAGCAGCACTTTCCTCGCCCAGTAATTTTAACGCCTGATGACCACATTGGTCGAAAAATGTAGTGGTAAATTTTTAAAGTAAAAACTTAATAAATTTTATAGAAAATAGTGTTGCACGCGATAATGTAAAAAAAACTAATCGAGACTGGGAATTATTATTACTTCACGAGGTAACAAAAGAGCGGGTTGTCTTCATTCTCTCGAGTTCATCTAGCAGTGGTAGTACCATCTTCATGCAAATATCAGATCTTCCCAAACTGGGAACCCTCCCCACATTAGGATCCTGTCATCTAGTGGAATTTCCGCTGAGAATTCTGAAGCAATATTTTTTTAGTTTTTATCTCATCTTTTCTCATATATTCTGCCCAATCTATTTTATTTATTTGACCTATCGTCATCCCTATTCCCTTTCTTGCACACATTTTTATATGGTAAAACGGATTAAGTGACTCGCTCAGAGCGTGCCGATATACTGCCGTTCTACGTAGTATCTTATTTCAGTGTTACTTTCCAGAGGTCTCATTCTTCAAAGTGCTCAAGAAATGTTACATATGCATATGTATAAGTAATTAAGTGTGATATCGAATTCTTCATTCAGATTATCTGATGATTATCATCACCTGCCCCACACTCTGGGCAAGTACATACTCAACTGATTGTAAGATTTCAAAGATTCGAATTGCCAGAAAGCCTGCTCCTTGCCTCGGAGAGAAGTTTTTTCATAATTAAAATAGATGTCCTCATAATTTTGGTGGCTGTAGATGAAGTGTCTTGGTATCCTACATAACGATTCACAGAAGGAAACATTGTCACATATTTTGGGATATGACTATAGACGGGGTTTGGATTTTCTGTTGGACTTATTGACCACTTGTTTACTATACTCGGAACTACAAGTCATTACAGCGCAACTGCCAATCTCCACAACTCACTGATCACCACAGCACCCGCTAAGCCTTTTTCCAGCCTGCTGTATCTTCAACAGCCGTTCCCTAGCAAAGGCTTCTAAAAGTGGAGATTCTTTAGATTCCCGTGCTCGCGTCATTACTGTCCGGAATATCCCGCAACTGAACTGTTGTCAACTCAACTATAACGCCATCTCTTCTCAGTCTTCCTTGAAGAGCTCGACTCAACTGCCAACACTCAACCGAACTCACTCACGAACCAACTACTTCACTTCACTCAACTGAAGTGCACTCAGCCCAAAGTCAAAGTCACATTTTTTTTACTATCTCAGATTTGAGACTTCCCTTTTCGTCGCCTCCTACGACTCGCAGGGTCACGGTGGAGGTATTCGACCCCTCCTCTATACGAGTTGTGCACTCAGCCGGTCTGGAGTCCTCCCTATATAGCCTCGGGGTGGACCCAACAGGAAACACCGCCTCCAACAGTCCCTCTATTGAGAAAGCAGTATTCTGGGATTTGGCACCGTGTATGTGGTGTTAACCGACGTTTCGGAGGAACGTATCGCCTCCATCTTCAGGGTAGAAGGAAAAATATAAGAAATCCGCAAGAGAAGAGACNCTATTATTGCTATGAACGGTTATTTAGCGATAGCTCGGATAGCGTTTCCGCGGGAACGTGTTTGCAGAGCCATTGCTCAGAAACGGCTGTTTGTTTATCCGCCTATTGCATACTAACGTCTGTACTCTATCCGTTTCGATTTCTCTGTCCAGGAAGGGGTCTGTACGCCACAATATGTTACATGTGTGATGATGAATAACAGATTCAGTAAAACGACGAATAATGGACAGTAACGTGTGTGTCATTTGGAAATAAAGCCTGAAGAGCTAATTCTGAAACTCCTTTATGGACGTAAACCGGAAAGTATAAGATGCCAGGGACGTCTTGGGGAGGAGGCAGAAGAAGAAGAAGACGAAACTGTTTTATTCCTTGTACATAACTGGAACAGGTCAAGAGCTTAGTTCGCGATGTTATCGATGATTTTTATAATTTTATGTGATATTTAATGTATTGTTTTCTACCAGTAAGAAAATTGAAGTGCTGTGCTAGAATTTGGGTACATATCGAAACGGATTTCACAGTAAATTACAGATCGGTTCTGCATGGAACAATGGCAGACGCATGAAACCTCATGCACCCCTATCTGCAGTTACATTATCACACTAACTGTTCACACGAAATGCAATACAATCATTACGTAGAGGGTGTGTTTCGATTGATCAACTAAAAAGTTAACCATGTCTATGTCAGGCATTTGATGTCATGTTATTGTCATAAGAATCAAAAGATTTAATTCTGAGACCTCTGGCATTTTGACAGCAAATGTGAATGCAGCAGTCTGTCTGTACGTATATCAGCATTACAGTGTACTCTCATCTGTTTGAACACGCACATCTCTGCCTCGCCACCAGCGCGGGGGTAGCGTCAGATGAATAAATCAGAACTTGTGACAGGCGGCCATAAAAAGAAACAATTAAGTACCCATTAAGCTAGACAATTCCGTTGTTGATAAGAGGAAGAGCCTCTTCATTCTGTAGGTACGTGAAAGGAACATAGACCTTAATTTAGTCTTCAGCCTGATAGAAATAAGCGTGATGAACTTCTGTTGAGCCTTCTTTGAGTTTTCCACATCATTAGCGGAAACCTTTGGATTAAAGCTCTTTTCATCAGAACAGAGAAGGCACAGCAATTCTTTACCTCTACGACATGTTCGTGAACATTCTTAGGAACGGGCTATTCGGGTCACGGATGCAAAGCTTTTGTTTCAATGGACCGCATTAGTAAAGAGCTTTCCATTGGGTTATTTTACTAAGCTTTATCAACAAATAACTTTCTTTAGCGTCGATGATGACCTGGGAGGACCTGAAAGGAAGCAGTTTCTGCCATTTTAAGATAAGATCCGAACATTGGACTGGTAGGATTGAGGAAAAAAGGAAATACGATACCAGGCCTCCTGGTCAGTGCTTGAACCTCAATCAGGAGTTCAGCGAGAAGTTTGATATTTTATAATATCTGTTTTAATCATATGATCGTAATGCTTATTTTGGCGACATCCTGAATTTATGCTGAGACATGAATTCTGAAAATTAATATTTTTTATTTCTTTCGATTCTCTCTTTGCCCATGAACACACAAAACAATTGTGTGGATTAGGGCCTAAGGAGAAGGAAGAGCGGAAGGATAAGCACTTGGAAAATAAAGAAAGGAAAATGGAGAACACGAACAACAATACAAGGAAACAACATTGACCTTTTATGTCGTTACAATTCTTGTATTATGCAGATCATTTTCTTACAAATCCGGTCTTCCTGCTGATGACTTTTCTATCTACCTGTCACTCAGTGCTACAGCCCTGGATGAGCTCTGGCCTCCGCTACAACCAGTCTCCACTGCTATCTGTTCCTCATATCCTCTACCCGTCCTTTCACATTCATCTTCTTCAGGTCGTTCTCAACATCGTCTAGCCATCTCATCCTGGGTCTTCCTTTTCTTCCTTGGGAATATAGCCTTCCTTTTAACATTCTCTTTGCCATTGCATTATCTTCCATCAATTTTGTAGCGCATCATTTTGATTGGTTTTTCTACAAAGCGATAATTGTAACATTTGGCACTACTGCAGTGAAATTAAAGGGGACAGAATCTCACAACACATTCCTTACTCCAGGACAGGTTTTCTCGAGGTTTTACAGTTTACTGTACCATTCATTCTTCTCTGTTGAAATGTTGACCTCAGCTACTTAAGAAGATTCTCTGGAAGCTTGCAAAATAGGCGGTCCGGAGAAGATCGCTGACGGGAAAAATCGAACCGAATTATACCACATTAATGTCCACAACTCAACTATGTACCTGGCTTCTATTTGAGATATACCCAGGTCGAATCTCAGCCGACTACTGACAGAGATGTCGAAAGGTATTATTTCTCTTGCGGCTTGAGAAATGCCTGTATTGTGTACGTTATTACAGGAAGGCGGTTCACCGCAGCGCAGGTAATGAATGGAGATCTGTCAGCATTTCAAAATTATCGTAAATATTGTCACATATTAAGGGTGTGCGTGAATTATAAGGCGGGTTTTGGATTGGATGATTGGATTTATTGACACTCATACACTCAACTCGTAACTACAATTAATTATAGGGCTATCACTATTTCCACACTTTACATTTCACTGTTACACACACTAGTGCCCTCAGTCTGTCACAGTCTCTACTATCCGTTTCCTGACAACAGATTTACAACACAGGAACTGTAACAGTCTCACTGAATTACACACTCCAAATCTCACTCTACTACAGCACACGTAAAATGTTAAAATCACAAGCTACGTTCCTTCCTTGCCAATTCTTCTCTGTCATCTTCGACTGCCGCCTCCAGTGCTTCCCTCATCATTGGAGAGAGAGAGAGAGAGAGAGAGAGAAGAAGAGTCCCGGTGATAGTGAGAGACATTACATTGAGGTGGGGTAAGAAACTATATCTCTGATTTTGAAGGTTCCCAGGCAGTGCCCGCTTGTCCTTCTGGTAAAGCTAAAGCATATGATCGGAATTTTTTTTTAGCTAACGTTGAAAGGGCTATATTAAGGCGAAAGTTTGATGTTAACAATGGCAGGGCTGCATGTGAGGCATGCAGTGCAACGTGGAATTTGGGTACCAACTCAGCATTTGCTCTAGTACCGAGGAAAACCACGGAAAACCTTGGTCGAGCTGGCCGGTCTGAGGACCTTCCGGATGCAAACTGACTTCTAGCCAGCAGTCCGGCTTAAATACGCGAAACCTAACATTAGACCATGTCTCCTGAGATCCTCGTTATATAACCTCGAAACGGCCCCCACAGGAAACACCGCTTCTTCTATTGTTAGGTGTTTATTCACTGCTGTAAAGATGTGTTTACCTCACATGTAACGCGTGATAAAGCGCAGATAAATGGAATTTGGTATGAAGCCATAAAGTTAAATGCATTCGCAATAGTTAATTTCGGCGCCGCTATGTATTAGCCTAAAATTTCATAAGAATTTAAATAACATTTCCAAAACGAAACTTCGGAGTCCGTGTTGCAGGATTCTTCTTTTAGGCTGACAGTTATTCAGCTGATCTGGAATTCTGTCTTCACGTACCACGAAGTTTTATTGTCGCTTTTTAAAAAGCCGACCGTTGGACCCAATCTTGAGCCAGGAAAATCCAATCCCTGCATCATAGCCTACACCTTAATGTATATTTAAATAACCTTCCATATACATCTGTGAGACCGGAATGATTTGTCTTTCGTGTTTTTAAACCAAGTTTTAAGTCTATGCATTTCTCATTATACGTGCTTGTTACGTCTCCCCTCATTTCATAAGTTTTATTGAATTTAGGATCTGAGGTCCTACCATGGTAGTTATGAAGAATTCTGTGTTATGGGATATAACGCCGTGTAGTCCGTCGAAAGTCAGTCTTAGCTTCAGGAGAACATGTCGCCCCATCTTCAGGGCGCCTGAAGAAGGAAGCGACATTTTTCTCTGAAACGTCAGGCTTTCCCAGAGCTATGCGGCGTTATATCCCGGAAGACAGAATTCTTTACAATCTGTTTGCCTGCACCTCTAATAATAGACATAATTAATTCCGTCCGAGGTGCCTTCTGTTTCGAACGCACTACGTAATAACGATGTGCGACAGTGCTTATCGCAAATTTTAGCGAATGTATTCGATCGTAGCGAAACAGCTGTTCGGGGACCTGCTCCACGCGCAGCTCTGTTACGGAACCGAAGCTAACTCTACTGGGAAAGCTTGGAACTAGGTGAGAGCTTGAGACCCTGGAAACCGCGCGCGGGGAATGGTCGACAGGTTCACGGACGCTACAGGTAAGCGAGTCTGCACAGGGTGTTTATCGTAGACAATTTTAATGTTTTGATGGCAAGTAATGTCTATTGTCAGTTTCTTGCTCCTTAACAGCCTCTGTATAGTGTAAATCCCACATGTTGTCGAAGTGTACCACGCTGTCGTTCATGTGGAAATAAGAAAGGAAAGTTTCTTGGAGGTTAGTTTTGCAATTTTGATAGTGTTTTTGTCTTGTCAATTAGTCTTCTCCATTGGTAAAGCTTCATCACATAATCATGAGTTTCTTACTCTTCTGTACTTTCGAAATATTTGCGCTGATACCACACAATCCCTGTATGAATTCAATCTATATAGACTTGGTTTTCCGTACGGCTGAACTCGAAAACTCGCTTTCGAATATTCAGACAATGTCGAACAAAGTTCAGAACACTTTTGAAACGTCGAAGCTACTTTACCAGTTAATGTTTAATATTTATCCTTAGTGTGCCCATGTAATAATAATAATAATAATCACTGCCATTTGAAAGGCTATTTTCATTGTTCGTAGTGACTATTTATATGTAAAGTCTCTGTTTATTAGACTGACATTTGTTGTGACTTTCAGAACACAATTCATGTGGTGCAGGCTGTATAAAGAAAATTGTAGCCCTATTGACAACTGAAACCGCGTGTCATTAGAATTTCACATGCATAAAGTTGCTATAGTGTTTGGAACCATTCGACCATCCATTTAAGTTTAAAACAAAAATGTAAACATATCACGAAAAAATCTAGAACATAAATTCCCCTATTTCCTCGCTAGATTTTTCACAGCAGCTTCTTAAATAATTGCTTATGTTTCGTCTGTTCCTTAGAATTATTATTTTTTTTGTAAACGACACGAAAATAAAGTTTCTAACAGCGTGAGAAGCCCTTTGAAGCGGGTGTTTAATGATTTTTGCGCGATCTGTGAGTATTTAAATAGAAAAGACCTTTTTTTCTTTTCGTAAGATAGACCACCAAAGGGAGCGTTTCTTATATTTACTATCTTTTATAGGATGCACTGTATTTCGCATAGCCCTGAGTCTATTTTCAAAACATAAAACGTATATTAACTTTCCTGGGTTCTTATATCCAACAGTAACCTTTTCCTTTATTACTTTTTCTTCTACGACGTGTCCTCTGGGAGATAAAAACGGACGGACGTTTGACATACCCTTTTACAGAAATTCTTTCGCCTTGATTTCAAAAATAATTTTTGTTCAACCTGGTGGGTACTTAAATTTAACTTCTGTGGGTTCTTCCATTCACACTATCGTTTATTATAACGTTAAGGACACGCATCATTATCATGGTTACTGTGAAAATAAACTCATTGTCCTCCCGGCCCCAATGCTATTCTTATAGGAAAAGACCGGAGAAGGAAACTATAGATTTAAACGAATGAGTAGTATTTTCCAGGGCTTGTCTCTTCAAGAGAAACTTTTTTTATCCTTAACATTTTCCGTTCGAGAGAAATAGGGTGGGATGGAGGGACGTTTGGATATTAGTAGTAGTAGTAGTAGTAGTAGTAGTTGCTGCTGCTGTGGTAGTGGTGATGGTAGTAGTAGTAGTAGTAGTAGTAGTAGTAGCAGCAGTAGTAGTGTTGCTGCTGCTGTGGTAGTGGTGCTGGTAGTAGTAGTAGCAGCAGCAGTAGTAGTAGTAAGTAGTAAGTAGTAGTAGCAGCAGCAGTAGTGTAAATGTTAATAATGATGAGACAAAGCTGTTCCTGCGCTTAAGTAAATACTACGTCATGAAGGCTAATGAGGGGGAGTAGAATTTAACTTCTTACATTTTTAAGCTCGGTGTTAGATGTAGGTGCGTAGCTTATTTCACGGTCCAGAAGCTTACGTCCGGAGTAGGCCTCCAGGTACACATTGGATAGGAAGCTGGGTAGGACAAATAGCCTGACCGGATACTGTGGAGAAAAGAAAATCTATTGCCCCTGTCCAGAAACGAACCCCTGTAACTTAATTGTTTAGCCCTTAACCTAGTTGCTATATCGACTGAAATATTCCTTACTCATTCATGTAGGTGAGCCCTTCTTGAGAAGCCGCCAATTCTTCAGCTACTGAAGAATTTCCCAGCATTATATTTAATACAAAGGTTCATTACCGTGGTCATAAGAGCCATCCACTTGGTCCCTATCCTGAGCCAGATCAATCGAATCAATACCATCCTATTCTATCGCTCTCAGATCCATTGTAATATCGTCCACCGACCTACGCTTTGGCCTTCCCAGTGGTCTGTTTTCTTCTGGCTTTCCCACCAATATCCTATATGTATTCCTCTTCGCCCTCATTCGTGCTACATGTCCTGCCCACCTCATCCTCCTTGACTTGATCATTCTAATTACACTTGGCGAAGAGTAAAAGTTATGAAGCTCCTCATTAATCAGTTTCCTCCAGCCTCCTGTCACTTTATTTCCCTTCACCCCAAATATTCTCCCCAACACTCTCAGTCTATATTCCTCCCTTAATGTTAGAGACCAAGTTTCACACCCATGTAGAACCATAGGCAAAATTACAGTTTTGTATATTTTAATTTTTGTGTTTTTAGACTGCAGATGAAAAGACAAAAGGTTCTGAACTGAATGATAGCAAGCATTACCCGAATTCTTCCACCTATTCAAAATGTTGTGGGAATCTGCAAGCAGATCACCATTCTCATCCTTCACTAAGTTACTGCTAGGCTGGTAACCCCTTTTAAAGTCATTTGTTCCTCTATACAGGCCCATAATGTTCTTGTTCTTACTGTTCATTGCAAGCTCATCAATTTTGTCTTTCAGATATTCACTCTTTGTTCCTGAAATGCCTGCTGGTTTCACATCTTATATTGTTCAGATTATCCTCATTTAACTCGCTTGGATCCTGTAACCATTGCAATTTGGGCTGCTTTCTTTGGTCTAATAATTTTTAGCATCCTTAACGGAACCATGTCATATGCTTCTTGAGTTCATAATAACCTAGACTCACTTTGGCAGAAATTTTCATAATCTCTCTAATAATTTCTTAAGCTTTATTAACGTCCACCTCAGTGTCCAAGTTTTCCAAAGCTGCGAACCTATTTCAGATTTCAACAAGATACTGCTCATGGTAAAATTTATACATTTACTTCCATCTTTAATACAGTGTTGTTCACAATTCTCGTTCATTTAAAATAATGTTAAAATTACAGTTAAACTGCTACATGTTTCAGGCTTACTTTACCGTCCTCAGCAACTGTTCATTCGATTAAATTGATACACTGCATTCTTAAATTAAAATATTCCAATGTTACTGCATTAATTGGGTGTAGCAATTTTAACAGATGGGCAGTTACCTGAGGATGGCTAAGTAAGGCCGAAACACATAGCTGTTTAATTGTAATTTTAATGTTTCAACATGATGCTGAAATACAATATTTTGAACATGCTAAAATTGCGTATTACGAGTACGAACAGGAATGCCGACTGCTTATAGGAGACAGGAACAACATTTAGCTCCACTCCGTGGCCTGTAGTCCGCAAGCGAACCATACCGATCTAGCGACCGCCGCTTGTCGGCGAAGTTAGTGCCAACTTTAGCGGATAGAAGGTGTCGCGTGGTCAGCGCAACGGAACCCCACGGCCGGTATCTCAGTTCTATATAACGAAGCTGCTATTTCCTTGAAATAACTCCTCAGTTATCCTCACGAGGCTGAATGGACCCCGTTCCAAACCACTACTTCTTAGAAAATCTGGTAGCGCCGGGAATCGGACCCGGGCCTCTGGATCTGTAGCCAGGAACTCTGACCACTAGACCACAGAGGCGGTCACGTTTATCGTCACGTTTATTGTAAATGCAGAACAAGAGTGACGACGCCTGATATGTTGCTTCAGCAAATATAATTTTTCCGATAAATTATCGTAGTAATACTAGATATATTGAAGAATCGATTGTTGTAAATGACTTCATTTTTTTTATGTATGCACTCAAGTTTATCGGCTTCAGTAATAGTAAGATAGTTCCAAGCAACAGAATCATATTCAAGTTAGATCTGACCAAGCCAAAGTATAGCTCTCAGTAGACTATGGTGAGAAGGGAAAATGTGATTGTGCTAATTAACTCGGGTGATTTAATCGCATTAAAAAAGTTGTTTACACCTAAATCCTTAAATCTGTTAAATACAATCTGTTCGTAGTCCGAGAGAATTTCCAAGTCTCTGTTATTTTGGCATGTACATTTTCCTGGTAAAAAGTAACTCTAATTTTAGTAATGTTACGCTTTATAAAATATGCGCTGAACACCAATCGTGTGTACAGTATCTGACTGTAAAAGTAAATAATCACTAGGTGAATAAATAACTATAATAATAATAATGTGCATCTAACACGCCATCGGTTTTTGATAATTCTTCCTGAAATAAATGGAATATTCCCTGGGTAATAACAATTCATGATAATTTATGTATACTAATCGAGCAATATAGTAACTTAAGTACGTATACATTGTTCAGTTCGTTAAAGGAAGGAGACTTTCAGAACTGGGATTAATAATTAGAGTACAGAAGCAAGTAACTAGCAGTTTTAAATTAAAATCGACCAATATTTTGTTCGAAACGATGAGGCCATATTGAACACGAAGTGTAATATATAAAATATTTATAATAAGCGTAAAAAATTGATTAACTAACCTAATTGTTTTTCGGTGAAGAGATAAATACGATGTACATTAGATTACGAATAGTTATTTTACCTCATTAAACTAAAGGATGCAGAATTAAAGTGTTTTAAAAAATAAACAGCCAATAAATAATCAACATGCAACAACCAGATCGCTACTCTGAATTAACCCACGGACGCCTTGGCTCCACTCGTAAATGTTTTCATACGTTGCATGAGATTGGAGATTTTGAGAGTTACGAATATTTAGGGTTGCCTGAAGATCGAGAGAGTATATTTCTGGGAACGTCAGTAACAACATAAGTGACTAAGCGGAGTCATAACCCAGAAGTGCATTATTTAACTGTCGTTCGTGTATAAATA